ATAGCAAATTCTACTTACCGCGGTATATATGTAACTCAACAAGGCATCCAGTAGAAGGCATTTCGATTGTTGCTGCGGCTTCGGCCTCAGCGGACTCCGATCTTCGTCCATGCAACTCGAATCCTCGTATGCACCTCCGTACTCACCGTCCAACCTGAGATCCTGAAGATTTCGCAAGTGCGTGTCTATCTCATTCATCAGAGTCACGTCTTCGGCCAGTTGCGAGTTGTCGTAGTCTCGCGAGTCAGAGGACTGCGCCGTGACACCCGAATTATTATCGCAGATAGGTATCTGAATCACCGGGCTCGAGGACTGCGAAGCGTTCTCCACCTCTCGGGAAGATACAGATCTGTTGGATTGACTAGATGATCCTCTCGTCGTCTCATTCTTGCTGGACGAACTGTTAAAATCGACGGACCGACGCGTCCTATCGTTCTCCGAATTGAACAAATTCGGGCTTATCAGGGTCACCGCTTGGGTATCCAGCGGCTCGAACAAGGGATTAAACGTGTTTCTTCTCCTAGTTGGTATGTAGGTCACTTTCTCGACTTCAACCCTCTCGGAATTCCTTCTCTCGGACGTGTTCTGTCTTTGAATACTCGGGGCGTCGTTTATGATGTTGGTCACGTGGGGATACTTGCAGACTAGAAAGCAGAGGGTGAGGAGGAACTGGACCTCTTCGGCCTCCATTGGCGAGGGTGGGTTTCCGTTGCAAAGGGCGACTAATCGTTGCACCGGGCCGTAAATCGACGTGTGATGTAACAGGGGATATTTCGATCTTCCTAGAAGTTTTCGTAAAAAGGACAGACATACTGCCCTCATTCCGGGTGGGGTCTCCGCGCTGGCTAACGTAGCCAGCAGGTCCAATAATTTGTGTTGCAACAGGTACTCCAGGCATGGTCCTGGCTCGTTTTCCTCTTTCTCCTCTTCGAGTAGTATCTCCAATAATCTGTCCAAGTGTCGCGGTATACCTGTAGTTTGTATGGGCACCTTGCAATCCGTCAAGTGGTTCACATAGAAGTTCATAAGCTGCTTCCAGTGATAAGTGAAGTCTTGTAGCGGCGTCGCTGGCGGTGCTATCTGCGGATAAGAGAAATTTATCGTTATCTTCGATCATCGCGAACAGGTAATAATGAAAACAACGATATCAGGATCGTATTACGTCGTGCACGTTGAGGAAAGACAAGTAGGATATGAAACACGGTAATTTATTGAACGTGCACATGTTAATAAGTCTCGATCAATTATTCGTCAGATGCAACTCGAAATAATTACATAAGCGACTAAATATAACGGCGTCGAGTGGAAAAAATATAGAGTGGTCGTAAAATAAACTATTAGAACATATCGATGAACATATCTAAGGGATGAGAAGGTCATCGTTTAAAATTGCAATCATAGTTACGTGAAGTATGGTTTGTCGTCAGGAACTTTGATTTACCTGTCTATTGTAAAATGTAAAATGCGTTTGACCCTGAATGACGTTGCAACAAACGGTGCTTAATGCTTTAATTTAAAACGCAGCTATAATTCACGTATCAACTATACATGTCCACTCGATGTTTCAATCAGAGACCACACACATACGTGCGTTTACTGCACGGTTACACCGGCGTTTGTATCATTTCGCCGGCGGCAAAACGAGCGCGGTTTAAATACGCCCCATGCGTAGTCTACGGGGACCCATGAGAAGGAAAGTGGTTGCTATCCGCTGATAGAGGCTTATCGACCACGAACGGTCGAAGGTACGGCCGCAGATCGATACAGGTGGAACGTAAATAAATACAATGGCACGTGTGACGGTGTGCGAGGAGAAAAATCGTCGCATGCGACGCGACACGCGTAAGCGCCGCGTTACGATCGATGGCCACTGCCTTGAAATGTCCCCCGCATTATTTATCGCACCTGACGGCGGTGCGGAGAAAAAGGATACGGGCGAAAATGTTTGTTAGCCGAGCGGATGGAGATCGCGTTACGCAGTCGCGTGTACGAACACGAACCGACGAAGATTATCAGGGTTATCACTCACCACGTCAATGGCATTCTTCAGCGCGATTTGAATGCCGCTAATCATCTTAACAATGATCAGCACGGTCCACGTCCACGTTTATCTCTCGCTACGCACGCGACTTGTCTTTCGCGCGATCCTCGCCCGGCTCTGCATAATTTCTCATCGTTCGTTCGGCCCGTGCAATCGCTTACTGTCTCTGCGACAGCGAAACTTTGTGGCTTGTTACTGGCCGATAGACGGCATCCTTATCGTATTGCATTATATGCGCATGTATGTATATACGTAGGTACGTTAGACACGATAATTGTGAAAACAACCATTGCGTCGTAGCAATTTAAATATTCTATGTTTTTTCATTCTTTATTTTATTTGCCAAATAGAATATGTTTTGACATTTTTATCTTAAATCAGTGAGTAAGGAGCAGATCCTTTTAGATCCAAAAAGAGTCTGGTTTGAATTTACGTAAGGTATATAACTAATTAGATTTGAATGAAATGCAAATTGAAAATGAATATTGTTGTAGCCCTCTGGCGATCCGTGCAAGAAACGCATTTTGATAAGAATTGTTCAAACATGTTGACGAATTTATTATATTATGCATCTATTTAATAATACCTTATCTGACATGATTACCTACTCAGTTTCTCAAGGCAATTTAATCTTATCAAAGATATCAAAATCTTTACGTATAATTGTTCCGAAGTCTAGAAATTAATTATGGCAGAGTGATCGTGAAAAGAAGAACAGGATTTACGATGACTTTTATTTTGCACCTTTAAACGTGTACACATCTCAACAATATTAACCAGTTTTCGTGAGTGTAAAAAAGTCGCTCCGAAATTGGCGAAGGCTCCGGCGAGTTTGATACAATTTATCGTCTTGAACGATCCTCCTGTTAGCAATGCTCTGTTCCTTCTTAGCGTCGATGAACATAGAGAATATGTCTTTCAATAAATATACAGAGTGAGTCAGTAATAAATATTACTTAAAATTATCCACTGATCATTGATCTTATCATTCCAGGCAGAGTTACGTTTTCGTTTAATAAATATGAGAATGTATTCTTTATTTTTTTACATTAAAAATCTCGATCGTATAATCAAGTCATGTACAGTGTTTTAATAAAGCTATTGTACGGGACATTTCATATTGACTCACCCTTTATATTAATAAACATTTCACAGAATATTTCACTATCTTGAAGACACGCTGATCGATCTTGGATCACGTCTCTCGGAGCCATTGGCTTTTCTTACGATTTCTAGGATTAAATTCGATGCTCGACTAATTGCAAGAGAACCTTCGCGTACTGAGAATCTGAGTGTATACGTTTTCTTCGGTTTCATTTCATTCATTCTCTTTTTTTTAATAAAATATGCCACGGCCTGTCCGTATCGACATGCTATGATAAATCGAACATCACGCACACGTGGTTCCACGTGATCAGTCCGAGATAAGTTTTGTCTAGTCTTCACCAATCGAATAAGTTCATAAAGAAGCGAGTGAACTGCGGGTTCTAGTCTCCTTACGTAAAATAAGTAAATTACTTAATCCTCTGTCTGCTCAACTTTTACCCACTCGTTATTCAATCTCTTCGTTTGCTCGGCTATTTAATGGAAACTAGACACTACTCACCACCTTCAGTCTCCGCAGTCGTCGCAGCATTGATGACGAGAACACTCACAAACAATCGTGGACTCAAGGAAACACTGTATCGAAAAGAATTCTTGTCTGGTGAATCGCGATTAACATCACCTTCTCTTTCCCTCTCTCTTTCCACCTACGGATCGACCGTAGTCTAGTACATTTTTGTCGCTTCGTGGCGCGACACCTTATCGTAGTAACGACAAAAATAAGTATAGAAGTAATAGTTTGGTATAGCTAAGCTTCCTCGCTCTCTCTTTAGCATCGCGTTTCGTAATCAGAGACACGAGCTGAATGATAGTCAAACCGAATAAAGTCACAGCACGTAGGAATATATATATATATATATATATATTTGTTTAATTTCCTTCTGAAACATTCAGTTATTTCTTCCTCCGTTGTTCGCCTAGCTCCAAAGAAATAAATATTACCTCTCGACACGAGAAAATGACGTGATAAACATAACTCAATTGTGCTAATAAGCACGTATTCAACATGTAGATTTTTGTTGTTGTTCTTCGTTTTTGGCATAATTCTTCTCTGTACATCGTAAAGCTAGTAGTAACGACGGTACCGCGATGCTGTTCGGGATACTGTTCTCGAGACAATGCTGGGAAATAATTCGTCTATCTCGGTAGTCATCGTTGGTTACAAGAAATGGGCGTCCAAAGGACGAGAACGCGTTGGGCTATCCCGTGGCCTATAAATCTAAAAATATTTCAAACCGCCTAATCCCTTAAAACTATTCTAATTAAATGTTGCAAAACATTTCCGCTAATATCTGCACACACTTTTTCTGACATCTCCGATAATAATTTTTGCTTACAAATTCATTTCTATACTCGAACAATTCGTTCATTTTCGCAAATATCGTTTTCTCTCCTCGGTTTGCGCTATTGTGATACAGTAGAATCGTTTTAGAACAGAACGATGGTACGAATGATAAAGTCGATTTTAGATCCGCGCTTTTCTTCTACTGTGAAAACTTCGGAGGATCGGTAAAAAATAGAATAGATTGATTTCGCGGAATCACGGACCATCGTATCCGTATCTCGTGATCCTCACGTTGAAAAAGGAACATCGAAATCGACCATGACAACGTCGACACTTCATGACATATGTAATAATAATAATAATAACTTTTAGGCGCAGCTATGCACCGCAACAAATTTCACGTAGCCCTTCGAAGAAACATTGAATCACTTTTCTCGTGCGTCTTTTTTTATTCACCTGTGTTATTTATACGTGTCTGGCTGCACTTATGGCAGTAATATAACTGTTTTCGTATTTCGTTTAACATTTATTCGTTCACATGCAACCATATGTAACTGTGAATTTCTTTTTTGCTATTTTCTAGTAAAAATGAATGTTGCAAAAGGGAAACTCTTTTTAAGTACTGTCACGTTCAAGTCTCCACGCATCTAGGCTACGCTTTATGTATGTACAAAGTACATGTGCAGCTCCCTCGCGTATTCTCTCATACTCTCACACGCATTCTCTTCCTCTCTCTCTCTCTCTCTCTCTCTCTCGTAAACGGATAAAATATCATTCACTCTTTTATTCGCTTCGCCCGTTCTTTCATTTGTTTTTGTATTTTATAATAGCTAGTTTTTTCTCTTTGACTTCATCTTCGACACATACGCGTGATCACATGCGTGTTCTATGTACGTGTATCTTAATGGTGTGTCAAATTTATATTCGTTACTGCATATAACTTATTTTAAGCTAAGTTGAAGGGATCCGACACAGCCGTTGTCTTCACCGTTTTCTGGCGGCCACCGCGGCAACCAGCGCCGCTCCACGACCGCTACCATCCTCCGACAGCATCAAATCAAACTGAAAGACAATAGGAATTAATCTCTAAATTACATGTAAAAATAATATTTGACAAAAATTCGAGTTAGAATCTTTTAAGAAAGAGAAATATCAATCAGCGTGTTTCGTGCAATATATTTAATTCTCCACGCGCTCTCCGACCTTGCTTCAGATAAGGTTCGGATTATTTAACGAAATATATAAACATTTCATTCGATGAAATTGTTTAACCCACTTAAAAATGCGAGGCAGGTGTCGCAAACCGTTGTTTAAATTTTACAACTGCACTCACCTTGTGATTCTGCAGCTGGCCTATCTTCTCGGTCATAAGATCGTGGAAGTAGGGGTGGAATCTGTAGACCGAGCCGTCAATTCCGACTGTGACATTATCTTCGGCGATTCTGTTTAACAATGTCGCGATTCCAGCGCTGGCTAAATGAGCTGCTCTCCTCGAAACGACCGAGCAGACGTACCTAACGTTCTCACAATCCTGATCAGACACGTTTCGTAGACCTAATTCCGCTAGCACCTCGCGACAGTTTGTGTATTTCCCTTTGGCATCGCTGAAATCAGATGAAGGATGTAGTAAAATCATCCACGTTCCTACTTGGATGAGTCGAAGTCGAATTGGGAAACTAAAAAAAAATTGTACTGCCCTCCATAATTAAAATATCCCAACTTTAATTTTTTTTTCATATATTAATAGCTAAATATTATGTTCATTTATTTCTCTAAAGAAGAACGTTCAAACTGTTACTAAAATCTGTTAAATTTTGTGAAATAAGTAAATTGCTCGATGATATTTAGAAAAACTTGATTAATTATCAGTTAGGATATTTTGCGTAAGGATGGCAAAGTGTCCGTTCAAACGCTCACTTTTCAATTTCTGAAACGTATTTCGTGAAAAATTTGCCACGTTTCTTGAGATCACTGGGAGCCTTTCCGCCAAAGAGTAATCCAGCGTTCACGACCTTTTCGAGAACCAGCCTCGTCAATTCTCCCATGTACATGCCCGAAATCATCTTTTCGAATAATTGTTTCGATGGATTGATCGAATTCTGGTCGATATCGAGATCGAATTCCGTGATAACGAAATCAAGACTATTCTCCTCGCCGAAGGCACCCCATTCGCAGTTTATGAGCATGTGTGATTTCTCCGGATCGTAGTTTCCTGGGATCGCACATTCCGCTTTCTCCATTTTCTCAACGTAACAGGCATTGGTACCGGTACCTGGCCAAAGCGATACATTTCATTTTTAGAATGAAACTTTAGTCGATCATTTTTCATTCACGTACCGACAATCAAGCCGATACGGCAGTTCCTATTTTTCCAAGCGCACGACATCAGCGTACCAGTGGTATCGTTCAGAATGGCACACACGTCAATTTTCACATCCTGGAATGAAATCATAGTTAACACAGCTTTGTAATTAACTACCACGCAATTGTCGTTACATGCGATTCTTGTTACTCGATCATTATAAAATTTTCTACCTTCTATATTTTTCGGACACAAAATAGATTTTGAATTTTTCGAACTCTTAGTATTTCAAAATCACTTAATATATAATTCCCTAAATTATTTTTTTAATGGGGCAAGACACTCACGTTTCTCCTCGCGATTGCTTCTTCAAGCAAGGCAACCACGTTCTCGCCCACGACACCGCTGCAGTCGAAACCCTTCGTCCACCTGACCAGGCGACCTTTGGTCAAGCCTTCTTGTTGCAAGGGGAAACTGAAGGTGAATCCAAGTGGTAAAACATGGTCTTGAAGATTCAAGTCCTTGACGAACAGTGCCAAACACTGGGCAATGTGATCGAAAAGTTGTGTGCCGGTTCCCAACATTAGGCTCTGCGGTATAGCGTAGATTTTGCTCTTCATGTCGAAGTTCATCCCGTCCAAGGTGATCAACAACACCCTGAAATTCGTTCCGCCCAGATCCAGGGCCAGAAAGTTACCCTTCTCTGCAAATCGATAATCGTTTATCTAATTGTTTTATGAAATAAATTCCTGGGAAGTATTATATCGGGGCATTTATCGTATGTACATCATCCTAAACGTATTCTTTTCTATTCCTTCTGTTCTGCTACGTGTATTTACTTTGTATTTTGTAAACCGTATAATCGAGAGAACGAGACGATATTTTAATTAATAACTACGAAATTGTCTGAAGACTGGATTCATTTATAAAAACTGTTTGATTAACTGGATGCATCAAATTCGTTAGAATGAGAATTCGTCCGAATATGTACCACATTTATCGTATGTACATCATCCTAAACGTATTCTTTTCTATTCCTTCTGTTCTGCTACGTGTATTTACTTTGTATTTTGTAAACCGTATAATCGAGAGAACGAGACGATATTTTAATTAATAACTACGAAATTGTCTGAAGACTGGATTCATTTATAAAAACTGTTTGATTAACTGGATGCATCAAATTCGTTAGAATGAGAATTCGTCCGAATATGTACCATAGCTTAAAACGTATTTGTACATACCAGTGCCATCGGGAAGATCTTGAACATAAGTTGTGAAACATTTTACGATTGCTTGATCATGCGTTTCCTTCGATAATCCTCTCTTAAGTTCGCGCTCGAGCGTTTCCATGACCCGGCGAAGCTGATCATCGCTAAGGATCAGATCCTTGCAAATATCTCTTATCTGTGAACAGTACGTAAAAAAATTAATCAACGATCGACTTATATAAAGATATTTTTATAGATTCGGCTTAAGCAGATTTTTAATAAAAGTATAAACAAGTAATAATACTGTTCGTATCAAAGGCGCAGATACGTTGCGTAACCATGATGTGTACGCATAGAAAGTAGCAAAGAGGATTTATGTACGTGTTTTCTCGTTCTTCGGTCATTTTAATCTGTACGATTATTAAACGATGTTTACAATTAATGCTTGTTGCGTCTAACTAGAGCAAATTGTGCTCTTCCTCATTGCGACGATCTTCAACTGTCTTCGATTTGCTTGTTCCAATACAGTGTTGGAAAATAATCTTTCATATCGACGTGTCTTTCATAGATACAATTCATAATTTAATATCGAATTCAAGTATTTTACGACATATTCAAATCGTGTATTAAATTCCACTGAATTATACTATGCTAAATTGCTCGCTGAGAACCTAATTGATCAGCGTTAGGTATAGCTCCAAGTGTGAATCATATATCGCGTACAATAGCTTAGTTTTACGAGATACATTCTACAGTACGTTTCCACGATCGCTTGTGCACATTCGCGGTTGACCTAGTCGAAAGAATGCACATTAGGTTTTGTGTGCACTCCATGAAAGCTCGTGTGCACCACCCATGTGCGCACGTGCGCATGAAAACTGGGTGTCACTGGCCGGAAGACCAGTCGTGGACAATTATGGTGAGAGTTATGAGAATCGAGAAAGGATATACGTACATGCATAATGCATATACTATGCGAGGATATGCAATTGCGATTTAATATTTCTTTCCTACGATCACGCGGTCGATAAATAATTTATAATAATTGTAATTATACGTTGAGAATTTAATGCCGAAACAAAACGAGGGTGATTAACAATA